GCTTGTGAAGAGCCCCATGGCTGTTTTTAACCAGAAGGCTCAGGAGCAGTGTGAGACCCCCCTGTGAGCCCCTCCTGAATTTCTGGCTGTAATTCTGGCACGGTTGTGTTGAGTATTTATTTTCTCTTGCCCTCCTGTTGCATCTCTGTAGGCACAAGTGGCACTGACAGACTGCCAGACATTACAGCAGTGAAATGTTGTAGCTGGAACATAAAAATTGATTTGATCTCTTGGCTCCTCCTGCTTAATGAGCGAGCCTGGAGCTCAGTGGCTCTGTGGATGAAGGGCTCAGGGCACACAGAGCTGCCTGTGAGACTCTGGGGCTTTCCCTGGGGAAAGGAGTTTGGTTTTCCTGGCACCAAACAGGTTTTGAGTCATTAAAAGCCTTTCCCTGTGGCAGAGCTGGGGCTGTACCCTGTGCTTGGGCTCCAGCTCACTTGTGTGAGAAATGAGAGTCACTTCCAGAACATTTAAAAGGTTTATTAAAACCTTATCAAAAAATACTACAGAAGACTGAATAGAGGCATTATTACAATGTGGGGAGCAGAGGATTTTCCCACCATGTGCTGACCCACACAATGGAGGTTTCACCTTTGTTAAAAGGTCACCTTTGTTAAAGGGTTAAAAACCCTTTAGCCTCCCCAAAGTTCTGTCCATCGACTCCTCCTTCACTGTCCAGTGGTGGAATTCACTTCCTGACAGCTTTTTTGGAGGTTAGGTGTTGCCATAGCAGCAAGCCAGCCCTCCCAAATGTCCCAAACCCAGGCAACCCCTGATAACAATGCAAGGGGGGGTAAAAGATAACTGTAAGTCTATAAAACTTCTCCTAACATATATACATGATATTTGCCTTTTAATTATGATAAAACATAACTATAAATCTATAAAAAAAACCCTATAATTCTATAAAACTTATCCTAACATGTATACATAATATTTGCCTTTTAATTGTGATAAAACATAACTATAAATCTATAAAACTTCTCCTAACATATATACAGGATAATTGCCTTTAAATTGTTATAAAACACAATTATGAATCTATAAAACGTCTCCTTACAGGAGATATTTGCCTTTTAATTGTGAGAGTTAACCATGACAAATATATAGGATATTTGTCTTTTAATTGTGAAAGTCAACCATGACATTACTCATCAGTCACACTTGGGAGCACTGGGAAAGGTGCTGCACATCCAGGGAAGCTCTGCTTTCTCAGGAGCACATTGTCACCACTTTTCCCTGGTGTTTGTCACCATATCCAAAGGGGAATTTGTCCAGAGTGAGGCAGAGCAAACAGAGCCAGGCCCTGCCCTGAGCAGGAGGTAACCCAGCAGATGCTTAGGGAAGGGTGGGTAATTGGTTGTATTTCAACACATTTCATTTTTAAGGGCTTTGATCGTGGCATGGAATTGTGGATCTGTCGCCAAGTTTGAGCTTCAAATGGAGAAATAAATGATAAATGATCATTTGGCAGCAGTGAACCCTTTGCATGTTTCTGTGCTTTTCCCTTCTCCCATCTGTTCCCTCCTCCAGCCCCCCTTGGCTGCCGATGGCATTCCCAGCCTCCCAGAACCATGGAATGTCCTGAGCTGGAAGGGACCATTGAGCCCTCCCTGGATGGGATCTGCTTGCTGCAACCAGTGATGTTTGATTGACCAGATAAGAGCTGAAAAACCCAGCACCTAAATATAAAATTTCCCCAGACACTTCCCCACTCCTCCTTTTTCTCTGTTTCCAGAGAAATGATGCCACAGGCAACACCTGGAATTGGCTTTACTTCATCCCTGTCATCATCAGTGGCTCCTTTTTCCCTCATGTTGGGAAGGAAGCACTGAGGATGAGTTTCCCTGTGCCTTCCAAGCCCATCTGCAGAGATGCAGGGCAGAACAGGGCAAAGAGAGAGCTGAAAGCAAAGAGAGAGAAGAATGGAAAGCTAAACCAGGGAATGAAGAATTAGGGTGGGATGTCAGCTATTCCAAAAGCCTTCAAAACCCTAATTGGGCAGCTCAGAGCCATCCCTGCATTTCTGCTCTGGGCTGTTTCTCCTTAAATCCATTTGTCCCTCACCTTCAGCAGGGGGGGTTGTGGTGAGGTTGCTGAGTGCCCACTCCTCTCCTCTGAGTCACTGATCAACTGACACAGCCATTCCTGAGAGGTGTTTGCTATTTGGGGAGATGCTGGTCTCGTGTTTGATCCTGGAGGAAGGATTTGTGCAGACCCTATTAACAAACCTTGGGGGCACTTACTTCTGTCAGAGCTATAAATGTTATATATAAATTGTGATATTCACATACTCTTTGAACACAGAGAGACATAATTCCCTCTCCCAGTGAGAAAGCTCAGAGAGAGAAAACAATTCTTATCTCTACTTGCTGCTCCTGTTGTTTGGCACATGTGGAATGTGTTATGGAGATTGTTTAGTGAAGAGAGTCTGCTAATTGGACTCTGCTGATGGTTGTTTGGACTGATTGACCAGTTGGGTCAAAGCTGTGTTGTGACTGTGTGGAAAGGGTCACAGGTTTTTCTTGAGTATTGTATGGTTTAGTATAGAATAGTTTAGTAGCATAGTATATAGTATATAGTGTAATATAATAGAACTTAATAAAGCAATTGCCTTCTGAATGATGGAGTCAGAGCACATTATTCCTTGGCTGGGGGCTCTCTGCATTGATATATAAATGTTATAAATCACCTGTGAGAAACACTCTGACAGTTTGAGGTTTGCTGTTCACTGGGTAACTTCTCATACAGAGACTTTTGAGGTGGCACCAGGTACATGCACAGCTGAGGTAAAGCACATTGAAAGTGCTTCCTTTTCTGAGTCCTGCAAGCAAAATTATTCTTGGAAATATGGTTGGGAACACTGGCCAAAAGCAGCACAGATAATAAGTTAAAGGCACCAATATCAGTTAGAATGAACCCAGTTTTGGCTAGTTGGTGTTTGAAGGAAGTTTTTTGGGGAGAGGGCTGAGCTCAGGGTTCCTGGTTTTCTTTACCCTCTGCAGAAGGACAAGGAGAATGCAAGAGTTTCCTTGTATCAGTGCAATAAATGTTATCACCTGTCAGAAATGCTGTGATGCAGGCTTTGCCTGTTTATTGGGTGACTTCTTATACAGAGACTTTTTAGGTGGCACCAGGTACATGCATGGCTTAGGTAAAGCACATTTAAAGCATTTCCTTCTGTGAATCCTGCAAGAAAAATTACTCTTGGGAATATGATTGGGAAGAGTGACCAGAAAGCATCACAGATGATAAGTTATAATAAGATATAAGATATATATATGATAATGAGTTAAAGTACCAATATCAGAATTAATGCAGTTTTTGCAAGGTGGTGTTTGAGCTCTTCTCTGTAGGCTCTGCCTTTGGGCAGGGAGGTGAGCTCAGGGTTCCTGGTGTTTTTTACCCTCTGCGGGAGGAGGGAGAAGGATGAGAAGAATGTGTTTAGGTCTTTACTTTCCTTTTTGCTCCCCTTCTCCTTTCCCTTCCACCCAACATCAGATCCTCAGATTGCTGCATTCTTCCCGCACAAGAGAAGAATTTGCATTTTCCTCAGCATTGGGATTCTGTTAATGGCCATGTGGCATTTTCCTGTTCAGCACTTCCCCAAAGAGCTCCCTCGTGGCTGATGAATGCAGAAACTTTGTCATAAACTGCAGCACCCTCCCCTCCTGTTCATCTGCCACTGCTGCCTGCTCAGGGTGGGTTTGGCTGGCAGGAGGTGCTGAGTGAGCAATGTAGAATTCCAGCATTCCACAGATCCTGGGTCTCTTGCAGACTCCTTGTCTGGGTGTGAGCAGATCCTGGGCTGAACTGCAGCCTGGCTTTAGGGAAGGCTGTGGTTCCCTGCTGGAGTGGCTCTGTTCAGGTGGAAATGAGGTGCTGGGAGTTAGAGACAAGCTGGGGAGGGAGGAGGCTGCAGCAGGGAGCCTGCACAGGGTTAGGCCACCTAAAAATGGGGTTTGGTCCTCCAGCAGGGTCAGCCTGGAGCTGTGGAATTCTTTAGGCTGGAAAAGGCCTTTAAGGTCATCATTCCCCCAGCACTGCTTTTAAACTCACCGTGTCCCCTGCACTGCTTTTAAATCCCCTCAGGGATGGGACTCCACCACTGCTCTGGGCAGCACTGCTCTGTGCCAGGGCTGGAGAATGCTTTCCATGAAGGAATTTCCCCCAATGTCCAATCTAAACCTCTCCTGGCCCAACCTGAGCCGTTCCCTCTGCTCCTGTCCCTGTTCCCTGGAGCACAGCCTGACCCCCCCGGCTGTCCCCTCCTGTCAGGAGCTGTGCAGAGCCACAAGGGCCCCCTGAGCCTCCTTTGCTCCAGGCTGAGCCCCTTCCCAGCTCCCTCAGCCTCTCCTGGGGCTCCAACCCCTTCCTTGGACATGTTCCAGCCCCTCAAGGTCCTTCTTGTGGAGCCCAGGACTGGACACAGGATTTGAGGTGCCCCAGCACAGGGGTGGTCACTGCTCTGCTCCTGCTGGACACACCATGGTGGGACAGCCCAGGTGCCATTGGCCTCTTGCCCACCTGGGCACACCTGGGCTCATGTCCAGACACTGCTACAGCACCCCAGGGCCTTTCCCATCTTTCCAGCTCCAGCCTGGAGCTGTGACCCAACGACAGGACCCTTGCTGACCCTCAGGCCATGATGTGACCCCATGATGTGACCCTCTGCAGGACCTGCTGCCCTCCAGCACATGCACATCCCACCCAGCCTGGTGTCACCTGTGAATTTCATCCCCTCACCAGGTCACTGACAGATAACAGAGGGATCTCCCCACTAGAGCTGAGGAAAAACCAAGGTGTGGATGTTGGGACAAGCAGTTCTTTGGCTGGAATTTCAGCTGCTGAACACAGCAGGACTGACCAGGACATCAGTGGTGGACACTCCTATGGAATTCCAAGAGGAATCTCCTTTGCACTACAGGTTCTGTGTGGCGTTTTCTTTGTGAGGTGAAATAATAATTGTGTTTGTCTCTCCCTTTTCCCTTTGTTTCCAGACAAATGACGCTGCAGGAAACACCTGGAATTGGCTTTACTTCATCCCTCTCATCATCATTGGCTCTTTCTTCATGCTCAACTTGGTGCTGGGTGTCCTATCAGGGTAAGGCACTCTGAATTTCTGTTCCCACCTGGGTATTAAAAGGGAAGATGTGTTGATTTTAGGGGGATATTACTCAGAGAGATGGGTGACATATCCTGCTGTGTCCCCTTCCCACTCATCCCACACTGTCCTGTCCTTGTAGGGGGATATTTCTGTACAGCCCTAGGAATGGGGAGGGACAGGCTGGTGAAAAACCCTGCACTGAGATGATTCTGAACCCAGATTTGTGGAATTACACTGATTTGGGGCAGTGCAGCCAACACTTCTGTGCTGCCTTGAAATGCCATCAGGGACCTGCTGGTGTGGAATGCTGGAATGGGACATGGAAATGTGGATAATGCATTTGGTGCTACTGTGCAGCCTGGGGAAGCTCAAAGTCAAGGCAATTAAAAGATCTCTGGTTTGGGATTTTTTGGGTTTTTTTTTTTGTTTTCTTGCATTGATTTTTTTGTTGACTTGTTTTGTTGGTTTGATCTCTGCCTGTTTGAGCCAATATCTGTATTTTGGGGACATGCTCATCCCTTGATGTTCAAACCCCAGGGTTCAGCCAAGGATAGGGTGTTTGCAGCAGCTGAGTTTGGGTTTGGACCTTTGTAGGAATCAAGGTGCCAAGTCTGAAGCTGGAACATTCCCAGCATCTGGGGAGATGTGATCTGGAATTAACACACTCCAGGACTGTAAAGCTCTCAGACTTTGGCATCTCATTCTGCACTGAGCTTCTTCTTAGATCATGCAGGTGATTGAGATCATAGAAATGTATTAAAATCTGGATTTTTTTCCTGCCTCTTGGCAGTAGGGGAAATAAAAATGAGTTGTGGCTGCTGTGTGGTAAAAGCCCTTTAGTGCTGCACCTTTCCTCTTCTTTTTTTAGTGGCTGGAGAAAGGAAAGTGTTTTCCAAAGAACATATCAATACTGATTTGTATTATTTTGTTATTATTTTTCTTCTCAAAGCACAGGCTGTGGGCAGCAGTGCAGTGGTGTTTGAGGAGAAGAGAGAGCTGTGGGTGAGGCTGTGTCACACCCTTCAGTGCAGGAATAATCATCACAATCAATAACTGATCAAATCCATTTATAACTGATCAATAACTGATCAAAGCCATTAATAATTGATCAAATCCATTTATAGGCCATCCTGATGTAGCAGAGGCTTTGTCTGATGGCTGATTTTCAGGGCTTACTCCAGCAGGGCTGAGTGTGGTTCATTAGGTGCCTCCTCTACCTTGTTCCACAGTGGGATTTAAACCAACCCAAAATCCTGCAGGCTGCTCTTCCTTTGTGCTGGAATCAAAGGGGTTTGGTGAGCAGGAGCTGGAGACCTGTGTCTGACTCTCCTGAAAGCCTCTTGTTGCTTGGGGCAAAATATGAATATTATATAAATGTGTATCTCCTCATAAAAACACAGCTCTGTGCAGGATTCCCTTTGTTAGTGGTGAGGATGAGAAAATCTTCCTCACAGAAGGGAGCCTTTCATTTCTGTTTCACAGAGTGGTTTGACGTCCTCGCCTGGAATAATTCCTGGGGAGAGGCTGAGGAAATAAACGTCACAGCACAGGTGTGGAGCACAGGGCTCCTGGTGGGCTTGGAGCTGCTGAGCAGGGAAGGAAAAAGGTATAAAATGTATAAAAAAACTTCCCAGTGAGGATGGGGAGGCCCGAGAAGCTGTGGCTGCCCCTTGGCAGTGTCCAAGGACAGGTTGGACAGGGCTTGGGGCAGCTTGGGATAGTGGAGCTGTCCCTGCCATGGCAGGGGTGGAATGGGAAGAGCTTTAAAGTCCTTTTAAACCCAGACCATTCCATGATTCTATATCTGAATGGAGGAGTGATAGGAAGACTCCAGAAAAAAGGAAAGCCCCTCAGAAAGCAGAGACTGTTGTCAATGTGTTCTGCAGCCAAAAGCCCAGACAGCACCATGGAAGAAAAGGAAAAAAAAAAAAAGAGAAATTTAATCTGGAGTTATTGTTTGCCTGGGTTTCTACAAGGAGAAGTTGATTTCCGTAGGATAGAGCTTCACTCAAGGACATGAAGGACATGAAGCCATCACATCCCAGGGACAGCATCAGCTCCAGCTCCTGCTCTAAGCCCCATCCAGCCTTGCCTAAATCAAAAATGACAACAAATTATGGAGCTTCCTCCTAAACTGTGCAGAGTTTTGCCATAAATCTTGATGGAATTTTCTGCTTTTCTGGAATTATTTGTGAATCCATATCAACACTGAGCAGATACCAGTTATTAGTGGGTTTGGCTCCTGGGTTTTTTTGTTTGAGGAAATCCTGGAAAACTGACCCTGTTGGGATGCCCAGAATCACCTGCTCCCAAAATGTGCAACAAGAGATGAAACCTGAGTTGAAATAAAGAACAAACAACCTCCCCTCTCTGCTGATTCTTCTGGAATCACGGGACAGGATGAGAGGAAATGGCCTCAAGTTGTGCCAGGGGAGGCTTAGGTTGGATATAAGAAGAGTTTTTTCATGGAAAGGCTTGGGGAACATTGGAATGGGCTGCCCAGGGTGTTAGCATCCCTGGAAATGTTTAAAAAAAATCTGTGGAAATGGCACTTGAGGCCATGGCTGATGGTTGGATTTGCTGATTTTAGAGGCCTTTTCCAACCTGAAGGTTTCCATGATTCTGTAGCAGCAGCAAAGGCAGGGAAATGATGGGAGATGTGGAAGTTTGGAAAAGATAGAATATAGAAATGAGCCCCAGTCTCGGGCCCAGCTGGATTCCTGCTGGATGCTGGGCTCGACCTGCTCACCCCAGTGCCAAAGGTGGGGCTCTAACTGGGGAAACTGGGATCAATTCCTCCTTGTCAGGCTGGATAGCACTGGAAAACACAGAAATTGTGTCACAGAAATACAGGAAATACAGGGAATTCTGTGCTGTTTTCCAGGGGGATTGAGATTTCCTGGAGTGGTGCAGTGGTGATTGAAGCAGCTGTGATTGAAGCAGCTCCTGAAATCCAGGGAGTTTGGTTGGTTTTTCTGCAATATCTGGGGCTCTCCAGCACGACTCAGCATCCTCTGGAGCAATGGTTTTATTTCCCTTGTAGGGGATTTTCCTCCCTGCTCCTCACTTTGTACTCCTCCCCTTTCTATTTTCCTTCCCTGATTCTTGATTTTTCTGTGAATCAAGAAAACTCAGCAGCCCTGCAGAACCCAGTAGAGCAGAAAAATACAGATTATTTCCTTCTGCAGAGCTTTTGCTCTATGTCACAGCTGATTTGGGAGCTCAGGACTGCACAGGGCCAGAAGAGCAGGAGCAGGGAGAAATTCCTCTCCCTTTTGATACCAATAACATCCAGGAGCTCATTTCCTTCTGCTTGTGACCTGTGGAATTCAGAGCATGGCTGTGTTCTGCCCATCCATGTGCTGGGAATTGTGCTGGGTGACTCCCCAGTCACAGAAACACACAAAAAAGGGGAAAATATAAATGATAAAAATAAATAATTGAAAACCAGGTGAAATTAGAAGATTTGACACCTTCTTCAAGTTTTTCTGGCTCATCCCTCCAGGCCCTTGGGTGAATCTATCCCTGTTTCAAAAGCTGGGGCACCTTACTTCCCAAAAATTGAGGTGGCATTTTCTAAGAGTGGAAAAACTGCAGTGGTTAAAATATTTAGGAATTTGTGTCTAAAATGTATTTCCCTTGGAACATCTTTCTGTGCTGACTGCAGTGGGAGGTTGGCTTTATTAAATCATTTGTAAACTCTTTGTTTGTGATCTAGGTAGCAATACAGGGGAATACAACTTTTCCACCAAAAAAAAAACCAGAACCAAAAAACCAACAAAAAAAACCCCAAAACAACAACAAAGATTGGCTGCCTCTGGTGGCACCACGAGATTGTTCTGACTGCAAGCCATGGCAGGAGGTGCTGACCCCAGCTGCCCTCCTGCATCCCTCAAACACAGGCTCATTTGCTGCTTAGGATGTCACAGCTTCTCTTCTGGCCACAAAACACCCTGGGATGATCCCCAGGAATTTTTAATTGAACTCTGCCCATGGTTTGCAGCCAGCAGGGAAAAAACCCCACATGCAGTTGAGAAGTGCTGCCCCACAGTGAATATTTTTCTGATTTAATTCTGGTTTATTGCCCTGTGCCCCCAAGGACTGGGCATCTCATCCTCAACCCCTTCCCCATCCCAGCCCCTGTGGCAGCAGCTCTCTGGCCACAGAGAGAAACCCAACTTTCCCAGGCCTTTCTGGGAAAGGCTGTGAGAAGATCAGAGAAAAGAAAGAGAAAGAATTCTTATCTTAACCTGCTGTACCTGTTGTTGTGCACATGTGGAATGTGTTATGGAGATTTGTTCACCAAAGCATGGTTTCTTAATTAGCCAGTGGTGATGGTGTTTTAAGTAAAGGACCAATTAAAAAACCTGTAAAAAAACACCTGTAAAAAACAAGGTATAAAAGTATGGATTTCTTAAAAAAGATTATTAATAGTCTTTTGAAATACATTAAATCTATGTCAATTGTTACCTGGCCAGGGACCCATTGCCCCGACATAACCCAAACCCAACTCCATCCCCATCCTCAACCTAACCCCATCCCAACCTCATCCCCATCCTCATCCTCATCCCATCCCATCCCATCCCATCCCATCCCATCCCATCCCATCCCATCCCATCCCATCCCATCCCATCCCATCCCATCCCCACTTTGTATTCCCGGTGTTCCCTCCCTCAGCAGCCCCTTCAATGCTGTTTTTCTCCTCTTGCTGCTGTTCCCCTCCCAGCTCCCAGCATTTCCCACAGCCTGCTGGGATTATGGGGTTTCCTACAGCTCGGGTATTAATTTTGCCTGCTAATGAGCTGCATGATGCCACACAATAAATTGCTGAACTGTTTTGATGCTTTGGATTACACAATGCAAAGAGGATAAACGTTATCCTGGGATGCTGGGAGGAAGATGATTGAACTTATTTCAAGGCTAAGTGCTTTTTGGCACAGACCCAGGCGGGGGGAGCGCTGAGGGTGGTGAGACAGCCGGAATTCTGGCCAGAGAGG